TCATTTAACTCATCTCCCTGATTAGACTCTTGACTTAACTCCCACAATATAACCCATTCTTTTTTATTTTCCTTTCATGATAAACATGTATTTATTTATTTATCTATTCATTCATTTATTGGCTTAAGGCAACAGATATTTATTTTCACAATTCTGGAGGCTGGGAATTCTGCAATCAGGGTACCAGCATGGTCAGGTTCTGGTAAGAGCCCTCTTTCTGGCTTGTAAATGGTTGCCTCCTTGCTGTATCCTTACATGGTGGAAAGAGAGAGAGAGAGCTGTTAGGCTTTCCTTTCCTATAAGGACACTAATCTAATCATGAGGGCTCCATCCTCATGACTTCATCTGAACCTAAATTACCTTAAAAAGGCCCCACCCCAAGTATCATCACATTTTGAAATAGGGCTTCAGCATATAAATTTTGGAGAGACGTAAGCATCCAGTTCATAGCAGGTAGCTTTTACCAAACAGTTGCAGGTACAGAGAATCTCTGGGTTTGAATTTTAGCTCTGCTACCTGTGTGACCTGGGCCAAGTCATTTAAATGTTTGGAGCCAGCTTCCTCACTTGTAAAATGGGAATACTATTGGTACATATAAACTATCTCAATTTAACTATAATACACATACTTCAAATAAAGGGCAAATATTGTAAGTCCACACTTTCATGAATTTTAACCAAGTGAATTCTTGGTATTACCATCATAGATTATGAAATGAAACATTTGGACTTTCAGATAGTTCAGCTAATGGCCTAAAAACAAATCTTTCCACATAATATCCACAAACTATACAGATCAACTAAAAGAGCAAAAGAAACAACGCACATTCTACACCTTCAGCATAGCTAATGGAGAGAAAACACTAAAGATTAAAAATTAATTTCAGCAGAAAAGGTAATATTGAAACATGATAAAGATAGCACAAAAACAAAATCAAAGATCAGTATCATTTGTAAAAATTTATACAAAAATATACTATAAATATAAGCAAAATAATTTAACACACATTTAAAAAATATGTGCCATCCAAAGTGGATTTATTCCTAGAATGCAAGCTGATTGAATGTTAGAATATCTAGTAACATTGTACACCACTTCAGTAGATCTAAGGGCAAAAGAAAAAATCCATAGATACTGAAAAATGTTTAGCAAAATTCAACATTCAGTGATAATTTTTAAAATACTCAATGAAATAAGAATTTATGGATATTCTTTTTCTGAATATGTATCCTAGTCATAAAGCTATCACCTCACTTATAGGGAATTTTAGAGGCATGGCCACAAAAATCAGGAAAAGAGCAAGATGTCCACTATTGCCATTACTTTTCAACATTGCACTACAGATTTTAGCTAATGAATCAAGTCAATTAGAGTCTTAAGAATAGGAAAAGAAGATCTGAAAATATCTCTTTTTGAAGGTTGTCCTACACTGTGTTTTTCAGGAAGTAAACATAGATGAGGAGATTTGCATTTAGGATGTTTTAGAGGGAGTGTCTTTGCAATTAATACCTGTCAAGGAGCAAAACATGTAGGACTGGTTAGAGGGAAGTGTAGAACTGTGAAGCAACATAGTCCTCAGCTGATTCCATTTCTACAGGGAGTCTTAGAGCCGGGGTGGTGCTTCAGAGATGACCTATCTTTATGCAAAGCGTACTGAGGCTTCATATACCAACATGCAGTAGTCTTTGGATATGGGGTATCACCAAAGAGAGTGTGACTTAGGATAAGGCTTCTCCCTTTAGATGAAAGGAATTCATGGAGTAGGACTCACTGGGAGCCAGCATCTGCCAATACTCCAGCAACTGGAGTACGAATCCTGAAGGGGTAAATCTGAGAGGCATGCCAAAGTATCCACTACACAGATGTGTGATCGTATACCTAGAAAGTCCCAGAGAATGAATGGCTTAACGTAATTCTAAAAATAAAATATTTTAGTAAGGTGGAATGATATAAAATAAACATTTAAAAATCAATAGCCCTTCATATACATAAAAGTGAGATAGAGAATATAATGTAGAGAGTTCCTCATATGAAGTAGTACAAAAGAACTAAAATATTTAGAAATAAATTTAACAAGATGTGCAAAATCTACTTAAATATGGCTATAAACACTCCTGAAAGGTACAAAATAGATTGGAACAAATTAAAAGACTCCTTTGTTCCTGAGTGGGGATCACTCAACATCACAAAGATATCTGTTACCCCTAAGTAGATTTACACATTCAACATAATCTCAATAAAAATAGCAACAAGGCTTTATGGAGTTATAGAAATAAAATAAGCTTAGAAAAATAAATTCTCGAAAAAAGCAAAGAGAACTTTGAAGAAGAAAAGCTAGGAATATTAACACTGACAGATATTTAAATATTACATAAAGCTTCTATAATCAAAGTGATACTGGCATGCTGACAAGCAGATAATAGAAGTTCATTAGAAAATTTTAAAAGGAATCACAAACTTTGGAGTTAAAACAGAATTTAAAAATGAATAGTGCTAGGAAAGCTGGAAGGTCATTTGAAAAACAAGATAAAATTTGTACATACATTACACAATACTCAAATCGATCAGAGACCTAGAATGTAACCATACAAGTTTTAGAAGAAAACAGGATGAATTCCTCTATAAATAAGATATTAAAAAAGAAAAGCTTAATTGTGACTTAAAACCAGGCACAATAAAAGATTGATACATTTAAATATATAATTAAGATTACATATAAATCAAAATACCATAAAGATAATCAAAAGACAAATAAGTTGGAGAAAATATTTGCAACATAAACCACAGATAAAGGAATGGCATATATAATTTATAAGGAACTCTTAAAAAGTGAGGAAAAAATTTTAAATACATGATTGAAAAGTTGCTATTTACAAGACAATGATTAATAAAAATAATAAAATTGTTAAACTTTAAAAATGATGTTCAGCTTCAGTCATGATAAGAGAAATGTAAAACATAACTGCACCAAGGTACCATTTCTCCCCTCAGATTGTCAAAGTTGCAACTTTCACAAACATTTTGTTGGTAAAGCTATGGAAAAACAGGCACTAACATTCTGATGAGAATGCAAATTGGTATAACCATATGGAGGAGACTTTGGCAGTATATAAGAAAATCACATTTTTATCATTTTTTACTGGCAGCCTGCTTCTAGGAATCTAGTCGATAGAAGAACACACATGCGCACATATATTCAGTTGGGCATTATTTGCAGTTGCAAAACATTGAAGAATAAACACCTTAAATGCTCATACATAGATGATTCCTTGAAAAAATGGTTCACCTACTCAATGGTGTACTATGCAGATATTAAAACAAAAAATAAGGGTGATCTTTATGAACTGATGTAGAGTGATTTCAAGAAAAGCAAAATACAAGACACTTCTCTTTCTTCTAGCCTTTAGGTAAGAATAAAGGAAAAATATTAAAATATTCATGTAATTGCTTATTTTGTCAAGAGACTCATAGGAAACAGAGATTGGAAACTAAGGAGATTAGTTAGGGAAGGAGGTTGAGGGCTCAGGAAAGAAACGAGCAAATTTTTTTTAGTGTGGCTTTGATTTTTGGAACTCAATGTTTTACCAAAAATATCATATAAAGGGAAGAATTTTTAACATAGAATATGAATAGAAATTTTAAAAATATTTCAAATGAATGAGAACAGAACTAACCTGAATATCCTTGTATATCTATTTTGACTATAGACAAGACTAAAGACTAAAAGAACTGTAAATATTATTAAGCTCTAGCCACTGTGTTCATTTTTTACCATGGTATCAATTTGCCCTTTAAACTGCTTTCTGTGTATGCTAGGAACCAGACAATAAGCAAAACCTGAGAGCCATGTATTTTAACCATGAAATTATATGGAAAGGAGAAGACTTATGGTATTACATTGAGCTGGAGGGGTCAGTTTGATAGGTAGATACAAAAATAGATATAGATATATTTTCTAGCTCACTATGCTGAAAGAGCCTAGAAAAGTAAAACCTTTAGGTGAGGATGAGCACACTCAGGACCACGATATTGCTTTCTAGGTACCATTCTCTGCCAAAAGGAACCATGGCTCCTTGGAATAAATGGCTGATTCCAGAGCAGGGACAGAAAAAGTACAAGAGAAGATTGAAGCATCTTGTGCTGGAAAACAAGTTAATGCTCAAAGAATGATTGAAATATATGAAGAACATATAGGAGTCTTCTTAAAGGGGATTTAAACTGGCCAAATTTGGGGAAATATTAACATCAAAAAAATAATGGGTGAAGATAGTCAAAAGGTACAAACTTTCCGTTATAAGGTGAGTAAGTCCTGGAGCTACAATGCACAGCATGGTGACTCCAGTTAATAACATTGTATTGGATATTTGAAAGCTGCTAAGAGAGTAGATCTTGAAAGTTCTCATCACAAGAAGAGAAATTATGTTGTGTACTTGAAACTCATAAAATGTAACCCATCAGTTTTATCTCAATAAACAATACAATTCAATTCATTTTAAAATAATGATAGTAGTTATTTAATACTACATTTTTTTGAATTTATGAATCTATCCTGATATCAATCAGTAAGAAGGAAAATATTTTCTATACAATAGAATGCCATCCAAAAGTGCAGAAGAAATGATGGTTGATTTAATAGCACTTCTTTTGGTAATGGCAGATTAAAATTATTGGCCTCTTCAGGTCCTTTTCTTCTTTCACGTATTTATTTCCATTTTCTCCCACTTCCCTCCTTCTATAGGTGGACATTTTAATATATTTAATATGTACCTACTTGATTTTTTATTGCTATAACAAATGTAAAATTGTTTTACATGTATTTTTAATTTATGGAAATGCTATTGTTAGAGATCTTATAACTTTTCTTACTTTATTCACCACCATACCTTTAAGCGTTGTCCTTCTTTGTGTGTGTGCGTGTGTGTGTGCAACCTGTGGTTTCCGGCTACTGAATTGTACTCTGTGGTGTGGATTTATTATACTTTATGCATTTTCTTTCCAAGCAATGAACACCTGGTTTACCTGAAATGCTTCATACCACAAATAATGCTGCAATAAGTAAGTATCTTCTTACTCATCCTTGGATAGAGTTCTGTGAGACACTCTTTGAGATATATACTCCAAAGTAGAACTGCTGTGTAACAGTAAATGGGTACATTTAATTTGATGAAATAATGCAAGATTGCCCCACTGAATGCCTCAATATGTCTGTGCTCCTACAAGGGATGCACAAGAATGACCACATCTCCATATCCCCACTAACAGATGGCGATTTTATGTAACTTTCTAGTCTTTAACATTCTAAGAAATGTAAAGTAATGTCATATTGATTTTTTTTGCTTTATTATGCATGAAAAAATACCTTTTTACATTCAAGCAACTGTTACTAAATTAAATATTACATATATATGTATATAATATAAATTAAATATAACAAATATAACATAGTAATTTCTATAATCTAATGTTTTATTCAGTGAAATTAAAGACAACAAAGACAAAAGATCAACTGTACCAATAACATTGTTTTAACCCTTACTTGGGAAGAAATATCTCAATGATGCTTGTTTTCACACAGTGTACAAATAACATTATAGTAATTTTTCATAGAAAAATTCTCTCAACTTTAAGAAAGCTTTAGAGAAGGATAACATTCACCTATATATACACACACACATATATATTTAAGACATATTTAGCTGTATTTAGTGCATAAGTATTTATAACCTAAAGATGTATTTTTGCATACAAATGCTAATGTTTTAACTACAGAAAAACAGAACTTGTACCTGATAAATAAACCAGTATAATATACATAGTTAAAAAGAATCAATTTTTGGATAAGCTTTAAGTCTCTAAGTCTCTATAGAAACACTAGGTTCTCTATTCCCCCAAAAGTGTAAAGGGACTATACCTAATGTGATCATTAACATACACATGCTCTCTCCAAAGGTGGTACAGTCTCCACAAGGAGCAAAGGGATTGTAACAGCCAAGGTTCAATCAGAGAAACAGAACCTTAATAAGTATTATGGAACAAAAAATGTATTATAGAAATGGTGAGAGAAGCAATGGAAACATGGGTCTGATACAGGGAATTAGAGCATCAGAATCAGTAACCAGTCCTTTGGAGTTCAGACAAGTTTAGTTGCTAGACTGGGACTGTGAAGAAGAGCCGGGATTGGAGAGGGGAGTGGGAGGACAGACCTCTGAGGAAACCTATGGTCTCTTTATCTAATGGAGAGCCTGTACTTCAGCCTTGACAGCAGTCGGGATAAAGAACTCATCACAGAGCCAGGGAAGGCAAGGACAAGCTGCATCTGTCTCTCACTCCCTCTCTAACCAGGAATACTTTCAGAGGGTAATGGTTGCTGTCTTCATTTGTCTTCCAAATCATAAGAACATTATCTCCCCACTCTATTGACAAGAATTCAGAAAAGGGACTTCTAGGAAATGTAGTGGTACTATTATCAAGTTAGCAAAGTACAAAGCTACACATCCATCCCTTGTCCACACACAACTCCTTTAACCATATTTAACTTCCAACTGAAGGCAATAGAAAATCTGTATTCTCATGTAAAAGATGCAATTATTCCTCCTATAACTAAAAGAATAAAAACCCTCTATACAAAAGAAGGTTACAGATGACACCTCAACAATTTTAAATAAATTTAAAAAACTAAATATATATATATACATATATATATACACACATATATATACAAAGATGCATATATATACATATAAATATAAATATGGGAATATCAAATTAAGAAAGAAATATTCATAATTCATTTCAGTAGTGGGTCAGATGGTGGTATTGATATTTATAATTCCCATCTTCTATCTATTCCATTCTCTCTTTTCCCTTACAGATCACTTGAGCTGGCCATGAATACTTGCCTAGTGGAATGAAGAAAAATTTAATTCCTGAATTAGTAGTCCTGCCTGTTCTGAAATGTAGTAATTCCAAGAGGTAGAGGATTCCTTGTATTACAGACAAACTACTGTGGTCCCCCACTTGTGTAAAAGCAATCCAATTTTCACTTGAAAGTCACAATCAATCATACTAGCCAGCAGATTAACCACCTTCCTTGCTTATTGATTTCATTGTTTTCACTCCTTCTGAAGTTCCAGCTTTCCTCTGTTTTCATTTCCTTTCTATTTGGAGACCAGTTTTAGACTTTTTTTTTTTTTTTTTTTTAGAGAAGGTGTTAGTTTTCCTTTCTCTGAGAATCCCTTGATTTTACTTTAATCCCTGGAGGATATTTTTGCTAGATATAGAATTCATAGTTGATAGGTCTTTTCCTTTAGCACTTGAAAAATGTTGTGCCACTTCCTCTGGACTCAGTTGTTTCATATGAGAAATCCATTGTTATTCAAATTAGTGTTTCTCTATATGAAACTGCTCTGTGGTTACTTATAAGATTTCTATTTTGTCTTTAGTTTTCAGAAGTTTAATTAGGATGCATTGGCTTGGATTTCTTTTGGTGTAGCAATATTTAGAGTTTACTCAGCTTCTTGAATCTGTAGGTATATGTCTTCTGTCAAATTTGTGGAATTTTCAGCCATTATTTAATACTTTTCTAGCAGCACATTCTTTCTCCTTTACATTGGGACTCTGATGATATAAATGTTAAATTTATTATTATTGTTCCAGGGGACCCTAAGACTTTGTTCATTACTTTTAAGACTATTTTCTCTCTGTTGTTCAGAATAAGTGAATTCTAATGATCTGTTCTCAAATTCAGTGATTCTGTCTTCTGTAATCTCCACTCTATTGCAATGCTTAACCAGCAAGTTTTGTTTTTTCTTTTTCCTTTTTGTGATATCATATTTTTCAGTTCTATAATTTCTCTTCAATTCTTTTCTTTATGACTTTTATTTCCTTGCTGAGACTTTTTAATTTTTTCATTTGTTTCAAGGCAATTCATAACTATTATTGAAGCAGTATTATGTTGGCTGCTTTAAAACCTGTGTCAAATATCTTGAACAACTGATTCTGTTGATATTGTCATGAGTTAATTTTATTTTTTCATTCAAGTTGTGATCTTCCTGGTGCTTTGTATGACAAATGATTTTCTATATCTGGACATACTGAGTATTGTTAGAAGACACCTAAAGCTATTAAGTTTATTTTAACAGGCTATTGCTCTGTTTGCATTTAGCATATCTCTTTGATGAAAAACTAGGGCAATTCAAAAGAATGCAGGCACCTGTTAAATACAGGAAAGCTGTCAAACTCTTTGATGTAGATAGATATCATAGTAGAAATGAATTTGTAACATGTGACACCTCACACAAGAAAAGGCCTAGTGCCACCTCTATCTGGAAGTGTTTCTCTTAGATATGTCCACCTTGGGACTGGATGTCAATTACACTTTTCAGTACACTTCTCCCCAGCACAAAATCTAAACTTTTCTGCCTATACTTTTGCCTAAAAATAGATATATGAGTAGATTCTGAGTTATTAAGTTTACTATAAATAATTTAAACTGTGTTTCTTGTCAAAATATTTAGAGTTGAAAATTTAGCTATAATGTCTTTGAGGATTATCAATGTAAGATTAGTTTTAGGGAAAACATAATATAAAAATCTATGCATTCTAAATCTAATATGAGAGATTTCTATATATTGTAACACAGTTTTCCTTACCAAAAGACCAGAAATAACTGGATGACCATTAATTGAGGACTCATTAAATAAACTAAATAATATCTAAAGAGTGAAACCCAATGCAGTTGAAATTTTAAAAAAAATGATGAATGTGTTTATGTACTACCATTTATTGGTTCTCCATAAAGTATTGTCCAAGCTGTATATAAGGGCAATGTGAATATTCATGTGTGTGTGTGTTTGCCTAAATGATAAATATGGTAGAATAAATCACAACATTTTAAAAACAATTATCTATAGGTGGAAGAGAGGTGATAGAGATAGAGTTTAGCCATATGTATAATATATTTTTATACATTATATTTTGGGGATATACAAATGTTTTACAGTTATAAAAACAAGATTTAAATTTAAAATTGAAAGCAGAATAAAACAAATGAACAAACATATCAAATTGGTAGCACACAGAGAAGTGTCCCAGATGACTTAAAAACATAGTAATTTGATTAGATATTCTGAGTAAAATTTACTTATAGGACAAACAAAAATGCAGAATATTTTTATCTGTTCTCTATAATCGTAGTTGGTGTATCTGTGTTTTCATCCTGAGAATAAAGAGATTGAGTATGCATTATGTGAAAGCAAATAAGTAATTATACTTGTCTCATTAAGAACTAGAATTTATGAATGAGAGAAAGGTTACAGAGATATAAAATTGATGACTTGGGTAAAATCTCTGTCATTTTTAATTTGTGCTGAGTGAAGAAGTATGAACACCAAATGTATTTTCTCTTTAAAAAAAAGAAGGAAAATATTTTCTAGGTATGGCAATAAAAAATGTTCAGAAATGACCAACCTAGTAGTAGTGAGCAATAATTGGAAGGTAAGTACACAAGATATACATAAGACAACTTGTCATTATAGAAATCAAGGAAAATACAAAGTTATCAGGGAGAACTAAGTCATGTTATAGAGATCTGTATAGAGCTTGAATAATTTCCTTTCATCAGCCAAACACGGAATAATTTGAACATCAATATGAATTATAACTGTAACAGATTAGACCACATCAAATATACTTAAATTCATGAGTTCATAATAATATATGGTTATTAAGTTACTTTGAAATGTATCTACAACAATCTCTCATTCCACATGCTTTTCTTACAATATAACATTCTTTTAGGAAGTGGAGTCTATGTTTCCTTCTGTTGAAACTAGGTGGCCCTTTCTGACTACCTCTATCCATTGAATAGGACCAATGTGATGCTATGTGACTGACTTTCAGGGCTATCCTCAAAATTCCACACAGGACCCTCTTTTTCTCTTTGAATACTTGCTCTGGAGGTAGTCAGTCACCAAGTAAGCATTTTGACTGTTACCATATACTGGGTGGCTTATAAACAACAGAAATTTATTTCTCACAGTCTGGAGGCTAGAAAGTCCAAGATCAAGGCATGAGCAAATTCAGTGTCTGATGAACACCTATTTCTGGGTTCATAGATAGTCGTCTTTTTGCTGTATCCTTACTTGGTGGAAGGAATGAGTGAATTCTCTGGGGTCTCTTTTATCAGGGCACTAATCTTATTCATGAGGGTTCTACCCTTATCACATAATCACTTCTCAAAGGTTCCAACTCCAAAAACCATCACATTGGGGATTAAGTTCCAACATATAAATTTGGGAAGACACAAACATTCAGTCTATAGTGACTACCCTTAAGCTGACATGAAATTCAAACTAGTCCACACGGAAACGTCACATTCACACACAGAGGCAGGTGCCTGGCCGGGCCCCAATTATCTAATCACTTACTGTTCCAGTTACAGCAACTCTTTGACTCCAACAATATTAGAGATCTCAAGCACCAGAACTGCCTAGCTGAGCCCCTCCCTAATTCACAACCCACAGAAATATGACAGTCACTGTTTTAAGCCACTAAGATTTACTGTGTTTTATTCCACGACAGTGGATACCTGGAAGAGTCACATTAGGAAGATGTTAGGGAACCAACACTTGAAAAAAATAAAGTTATAAAAGGAAAAGAATCAAGGATACATACCACATTTTCTATACAAACAATACTTCAGTGTAACCAAATAGTTAATGATGAAAGTTTTACGTCAGAAAAATATTCTGCTAATAAGTGAAAAAGAAGTAATCCAATTTTATAAAAGTGCTTTCAAAAGCTTAGTGTACTGACGTATCTATGCAATGACTATCAATTGCTGATAACCAAGTAACTATATGTTATTTACCTCCTGATGGAATAATGCAACAGGATCTATGCAGAATTCTTACCAAAATTAAAAAAAAACTTTGATATGATAAATCCTCTAAACATGGCTGCAATTTACAGGGACTATAGTAGAGATAGAATAATGATAACTGTGGGAAACTCTATAAAGACAATCAACTCTGTTCTTTCCTAAATAACAAGCAAAGAAAATAGAGCAATGAAAGACAACCTATGGATAAAAACTTACATAATGGGCACATCAACTAGTTTGAACATATGGAACTTATTTGGATATCTGATTCATATATGAAAACAAAAATAAAAATGTTTGAGTTAATTATGAAAATTTTCATATTGAATATGTATTTAGTAATATACAGAGGTTGTAATTCTTATGTATTACATTGATATTGTGTTGTATTTTTTTAAAAGTTTCTATGTTTAACAGATGTATGCTGAAATATTTATGGACTAAATAATATTACACCTGGGATTTGCCCCCAAAAGTTTTGAAGGAGAAGTGGGAGAGTAAAAATAAATTAGCCATAAGTTGATAATTGTTAAAGCTAAGTGACCATGCATGACAGTATTTTACAATATTAGTCTCTCTACTTTTATATATATATATGAAAAATAATAAAATATAATGATGGGTAACCCTCTAAAATGTACATTATCCTCATAGAAAATATTAACTTTCATTGTTACAAATATTATATATACATTCATTGTTGTAAAGATATGCTGATACCCTAAAAGAAATTTGATCTTACTTGGATCTATTTTCCCTTTTGATTAGAGATAGAAAATGAATGCAAATAAAAAAGAAATTCTACATGCAAAAATACAGTTTTTGACCTAGTGCTAATTGGAAGGGGAGTTCATCTGTTCCTGGAAGGTAATTTTTATGATAAATGTCTCCTGTGTTTTTCTCATCTAGGATTCAATGTCTATAGGGAATCAATATCTCAAATTCAGAACATAAACCTTTTTGAAAAAGCAAATAATTTCATACATAATATATACATTATACATATAAATCTGTATATATATATACACACACAATTCTGTGTCTGTGTGGGAATATGCTTTAAAGAAATATAATTTTATAACCCAGCACTATATCTTACATGGAAATTTTGTCTTTATAGTCTTCTAGTTTCATCTGTTTATGTCTTTTCTCTTTTATTAATTGGTCCATTCAATGTTATTTTGATCCAAGTAGACAGTTGGCATATAGAAGTCATCATTTCATTCCAAGCTGGAGATAGTTTGTCTTTGCAACTTAAGTATAATCATCTGTCAGCTTCTATCTCTCTTTTTGGTTTGTGACAATAACTCAGACTTAAGAAAAATCAGGGTTATAACACTTTCCCCAATAAAAGATGTTATTATTTTATATGTTTATATACATCTTTTTATCTTCATCTTATACACTCTTTATAAACATGCAATTGTTGGATACAGAAAACTGTATTCAAACATTAGCATAAATGGGAGAGAAAGAAATCTCCTCACTGCTATTTCATGTGGATTCTGTCAGTGAGTGGCGAGCCCAACTTCCAAGTCTCATAGACTTCAGTTACTCTACCACCTGTACAGTGCTTAGCTCAAGTATTTTATCCCTGCCCCTGGGATTGAGTCATCTCTCTGGAGAGACCCTCAGGAGAGGCCTTGGAGGATTGGATGGTCTTCCTCAGGTATTTATCAGCTTAGCTCCAGGGACAGAAAGATATTGTGCACAATCTAAACAGAGGTCATTCAGAGGTGAGTAAAATTCATTCAAAGGTAAATAAATAGAACATTCTGTGGAAGAAATCATAGTAAAGGGATCTTCAGGGAAGATTATATTGTGCCCAAACTGACTACTTACATCCTAGAACTATAATCAACTAGTGGTCCCTGTTTGAAGCATTGACTGCTTGTATTTATACACATTCAAAATAACCCAGGCTAAGTGAAGTGTTCTTGAAAATAAATTTAAACTTTCTCATTAAAATACTAAATTTGCACATGTATCTTACTCAAGAGGGAATTTTAGCTGCCTTACGGTAGAAATTATAGATGAGAGATCATTTTCAGTGAGTGCATTTCTAAAAATACCTTCCCAAGCACAAATGTAGTTCATTAATAAGTGAATGGAATAAAATTGAGTAACATGGTGCAGCTGTTATACTCATACACTACGTGTGAAAAAACAAGCAACTATAGCAACTATATATTTAAAATTCAAAGATAACAAGATATGAAATGATAGGCTACACTTACAGAGATTTCCAAAAGTAATCATTATTGGGAACTTCTTAAAAACATTGCATCAAAAAAAATTATTAGAAACACAGGAAGATAATGCCAAGTGATAAATCTGACAATACCATTTCTGACGTAATAATTTTATAAAAATCTTATAATAACTATATAGTTTAGAAATACTTTTATATTTCAAATAAGTTAATAAAAGTTTACTATATCACAAGAACATTTAGAATATTAGTGACTGTTACACTTGTTATGGATTATATTTAGCAACAACAAGTCAACAATAACACATTCTTTACCTTAAGGCATTGATTATTTGTGGATCAGTCAGACTCTATTCAGCCTAAAGTGAGTGCTTTGACTTGAAATTTGTTTTGTATGCAACCATTTCATCCATCAATATCTTGTTTTGTGTTCACCATAGGAATTGAAAAGGTGGCTCCTTCAATCTCCTCTTGGTGAGCATTGACAAAGTGGTGGAGGGAGTTTCAGAAATCGAAGATATTCTTGGATTCCAGCTTGATTTTTGGTCACTAAACATATTGCCATACCCTAGTTCATTAGACTTCCTAATAACCTTTGAGAGGAAAATTAACATTTCACAGAGCAACAGAGTAAAATTTGTGTATTGCAAAGAGAATTAGAGGTCACTATGATGCCATATACATTCATTTCAGTTCCCACAAGACTTTACTCTTTGCATCTATTTTTAATGAAACAAATAAAAACAGGAACCCAAACCTATGAATATGATCATTTATACAGCTAGATTTTTAAGACATTTTTATGTCTAGTTTGTTATATATGTCTGCAAGTTGACTGGCAAGTGACAAAGCAAGGATGGCAAGATAAATTCAAACACTGTGCTCCTTCCTGGAAGAAGATCTTTGTAAACAAAATCAATATCTGCAGAGAAATATCAAACTCTCATGTGCTCCAGTTCAAGAACCTCAGAGATACTCTATAATAAAAAGGAATTGCTAAAATAAATAAATTTAGAATAGCTAAAACTTACATTTCTCGAAATATATCCAAAGGCTTTCTATGAAAGCTAGAAACTACAAGCATGTATTTTCATCAACACATCTGATTTGGTGACTCTGTAAGATGTATATCTATTGTGATAACTGGAAGGCTATTTTCAATGAATATGAATATTTGTTTGTACCCTCTATCTTGTAGATGCCAATTTGTTTCTCTGTTCGAGATACGATTTTATGAAATAGGGATAATAGGTTTTCTATGAGGACACATTATCATGATACATTATTAACTAGTGAGTAATGGCAAGACACGTATTTAGTTGTCAGTATTTGACCAAAGAATTTGTGATATATATATATATATATAATATATATCATATATAAAATCCATTATACTTTATAGTATTTATGTGTGTGTGTGTCTGCTATGAAGCATATAACTTCTAAGATTATCTAGAAATTAACATATCAGTTCATGAGCCTAAAGCTAAAATATCTAAAATTTCTAGGAGATTTGAAATTCTTTAATTTGCTTCTTTTGGACTTTTGTTATTGACAAGTTTTCTTATTTAACTTCATCAGTTAATTATGGATTACATAATTATTATTTGTTTTAACATTACAACATATTTAGAGAAAAAAGAAGAAATAATTTTGTGTTTTCTTTTCTTTTATGGTTTTATTCATTATCATCCTTGCTTTCACATATTACTTTTTCAATTACTAACAATAAAACTATCTAGCTTACAGGGCTTCTGCTGTCCACATTTTTGGTGTGTCACCTTGCTTTTTAATTATTAATCTTTTTAATGTGTAAATTTACTCGAGTATGATAAACTATATTTTACCTATTTTTATTATATGTTACCTATTAATACAACATATATTAATAATTTTATCTAATTTTTAAATCTGAATATATTTCAGAAGAAAGAAGTGTTTAATTTGCTAAGAAACTGAAAGTTAATTATTATATAAAATTGAATTATGTTCCATAACATATCTCATGTTATTGTGAGGCACTTAAAATTTTCCTCAAGTTCATGAAGAGAGATCAAGTATATTAAAATATGATTTTAAAAATAACCAGGCCTAAAAAAATGAGGCAACACAACAGCGTAATGTGCTATAAATTAGAATGTTATTTATGTAATAGAGTATTAATTATACACACATACATGTGTTCTTCTGTTGTCTCTATATTGGCTGAGAGATGCTACATGGGTTCTTTGTTTATTTTTAGTGATATACTGTACTTGTGTCTTCAAGGGGGATTAAAACACTGTGTAAATAGTAATTGTATGCACACTCAAAGCCTCGAACTCAGGCATTCTCTTCCCTTACTATCAAATATAGTCATAAACGGTCTTTTCCAGAAAATCTTTCTTGAGACAACGTCAACGATTTCAAAAGTAATTGCAATGTCATTATATCCGATTATTGGGGGAAAATTCACACGCACAGATATGGTAAGAGCCCAAACTCTATTGGCATAAGTCATTAACACTGATTTGCTTTCCACCAATGATATACTTGCTGTCCCTAGCCTAGTACTTTTCAAAGCTTAATAAAATCTAGGCATTATGATATCTATGCTACTATTCTTCATTTTATTTTCCACCTTATTTCCCCAAATCCTTACTGTGAATCTCAAAAATAACAATTACATTTTTTCTGGAAATTTAACATCATAAGGAGTTGAAGCTAAGAATCCACACCATGATATAGCTATGTTGTTCTTTAAGTGTAAATAAATTTACCAAGATTTCTAGAACTTGGAAAAAGACAATTGATAGTCTCAAATTTGTTCAAAAACTTCGAAATTATAAGTTGTATGAAAACAAATCCAATGACTCATTTATTAAAAGCAGTGGTGCAAAAGACTTAAAAAAGAAATGTTGCAGCGTCCAGTCTTCTAATTTCCTACATATGTTATTAAATATAACACATTCCTCCAACCGCAACTTTCATAACACTATTAGCTTTTTTCCAATTAAATTCTGTTCACAAGGAAATAAAGTGTCATACTTGTTTTTCTTTTACTTTCCCTGAATTAAAAAAAAAAAACAAGTAAGCAAATTAAAAGAGTAAGACAACGAAACTTAATTGTATCTTAAATGGACCACACAATTATTCAAAACTTAATTATTTAATTTATTTACTAAAACATAACACATTTTGGAAATGGGAAGTTAGAAGACCAGCTGTAGAGCTCTGAACTTGTAGGCATAAGTTATCATGAATTAAGAAATCCTGGCTTTATCTTGAAAGAAAATCTCAGAGGAAAAAGTCAGAGTAGTTGCCAGACTTAAAGGCTATATTTTCTTTCCAGTGTAACTTTTTCTTTGAGTATTTCTGACTAACTTTTTAAAAGGTAAAGCACAATACCATAGAATCTCATAGTAATCTCTATTTTTAATACATTCACTATGATATTAAAAGGCACGTACAGAATGATAGAATGAGGAGCTCCCTGAACCTTCTGTCCAGCAAAACTGGTAATAATTATTTAAAACCAACCACATAAAGTCTCAGGAAATAGTGTCAGGGACATAGAGACAACAAAGAAACAATGATTCAAGAAAACATACTGTAAGAAGAGTGAGAATCTGTGGTATTTGAACTGAGATTTGCTCCCCCCCTCGCCCCTCCATATTCGGCAAGATAGAAACTCCGCTCCAGGTAACTGCAACCAAGAATCCTGGGCTACCTCTTCCCCAAACTCCAGTCAGAGTGATATCTTCCCAGGAGGGACAGGACTCGAGCACTTTTCATTCTGAAACCAGCTACAAGTTGCTGAGGTAAAGATACGGGTGAATATGGTTGAGAAGTGGGGGCTCCCTTCTTCGTCTTCGTCCACTCCTGACCAAACTGTGGTTGGAAACTCTACCTTGGGATATAGTACCTCTGATAATACTAGGGCCCTGATTGTACTGATACTTGCCCAGCTCTTAAGGTGGTGATTCCACACTGGGAGAGTCATGCAAGAACATCTAAGGCTACTTCCCCTTCCTTCTTCTAAACACGGAATACTCAGTTCCTAAAGCAGCTGTGTCACTCAGAGACAAGCACACCATTGCCCCCATATCCAATCTCAGAGATGTGGTCCAGAGACTTTGTCTGTGGTCCGGGGACATGGGAAAGCAAGTCATAAAAATGATAGCTCCTAATCTCTTTCCAAAGGAACCGAACTTGAAATAGTGGAGAATTTTGAGCCTAAAACAGCAACAACAATAGTAAAAATTGTGGTGAAAGGGAATTGGGGGAGGAGGTTAATAAGTTCACTGGACATATAAGCTAAACTGTATGCTAATTACTTTGTCTGAGAGAACAAGAGAAAGAAACTATTGTGAGGATTCACCTAGGGTCAGAAAAAAAAAAATCACAAACACTGATCTCAGGAATTATCTGTTCAAAAGAGCTCAAATTTGATTGGCTTCATCAATGGATCAATTTATGCCCCAGCACATTGTTAAACATTATAGGGCAATAAGTTGGCAATTAGTGGAACATAACAGCTGGATGAGGTCAGGGAAAGAGGTTAAGATAACCCTGTCAAAACCATTGTCATATCAGAGTGGTTAAGGGCAAACCCAAGCCTGTGCTATATATTAGTCAGCTAGGGCTGCTGTAACAAAGTACCACAAACTGGGGGGCTTAAACAACAGAAATGTATTGTCTTACAGTTCTGGAGGCTAGAAGTCCAGAATCAAACTGTTGGCTGGGTTGATTCCTTCTGAGGGCTATGACAGAGAATCTGTTCCATGACTCTCACCTAGTTTCTATTGATTTGCTGGCAGTCTTTGATGCTCCCTGTCTCATACAAACATCCTTCATCTCCTCACAGTGCTCTTCTTGTGTGCAAGTCTGTGTCCAAATTTCTTCTTTTTCTAAGGACACCAGTCATACTGGATTGGAGGCCCAGTGTACTCCATATACCCTCATCCTAACCTAACTAATTATATCTGCAATGACCCTACTTTCAAATAAAATCACATTCTGAGGTACTGGTGATTAGTACTCCAGTGTATGAATTTTTGAGGGAAAAAATTCAATCCATAACAGCACTCATAAGAAGTAACATTAGAGGTTCAAAATTTTCAGGGGGAGGAATAGTTTCCACTAAAATAATTCAGCTAGTCACTAAACAAATAAGAAACAAGAAAATACAAAGAGGGAGAGTACCCAGAGTTGCTATAATACATTATGTAAAATTTCTACTTTTCAACAACAAAAAATGAGACATGAAAACAAAAAAGAAAGCAGGCAACAAAAACTGCCTGTAAAAGTGAACAGGTAGGGCTTCCCTGGTGGCACAGTGGTTGAGAGTCCGCCTGCCAATGCAGGGGATACGGGTTCGTGCCCCGGTCTGGGAAGATCCCACATGCTGCGGAGCGGCTGGGCCCGTGAGCCATGGCAGCTGAGCCTGCGCGTCTGGAGCCTGTGTTCTGCAACGGGACAGGCCACGACAGTGAGAGGCCCGTGTACCGCAAAAAAAAAAAAAAAAAAAAAAAAAAGTGAACAGGTATAGGATTTAATGGAAAAAGACTTCAAAATACCACTGTAAATATGTTCAAAGAATAAAAGAAAACCATGATTAAAGAAGTAAAGGAAGATATGAGGACAATGTCTTATTAAATAGAAAATATCAATAAAGAGATATTACAGAAAACAACTAAGTGGAACTTATGGAATAGAATAGCATAGTTAAAATGGAAAACTCAGTAGAGGGGCTCCACAGTAGATTTGAACTGGCAGAAGAAATAATTAGCAAATTTAGAGTGAGAGAGGTTATGCAATCTGAAGAAAAGAGAGAAAAATGAATGAAGAAAAATAAATAAAATCTCTGAAAAATGTGAGCATTATTAAGTATACCAATGTAAGAACAGTGGGAGTACTACAAGGAGAAAAGAAAGAGAAATGAGCAGAAAAAATATTCAAAGGCTTGCTGGTTGACAACTTCCCAAATTCATTGAAAAACAATAATCTACACATCCTAAAAGAAGCAAGAGGATAACAACTCATCACTTACACATAAACTCCAATAACATTATCAGCTGAGTTCTTATCAGAAACAATGGAGGCCTGAAGGCAATGTAATAATAACAATCATATTCAAAGTGTTCACAGAAACAGTAAACCAAGAGTCCTATTTACAACAAAGCTATCTTTCAAAATTAAAGTGAAATAAAAACATTACCAGATAATCAAAACCTGAGCAAATTTGTTGCTAGGAGACCTACCTTACAAGAAATACTAGGGGAAGTTCTTCAGGCTGAAATCAAGTTAATCCAGATAGTAATTTAAATCCACACATACACACAAAAAGAATTACCCCAGTAAAGGTCATTATGTAATAATTATAAAAGATGGTATAAATGCATATTTCTTCTCCTGTTTTCTCTAAATTGATTTTTTTTTTCCTGCGGTACGTGGGCCTCTCACTGCCATGGCCTCTCCCATTGCGGAGCACAGGCTCTGGACGTGCAGGCCCAGTGGCCATGGCTCACCGGCCCAGCCGCTCTGTGGCATGTGGGATCTTCCCAGACCGGGGCATGAACCCGTGTCCCCTGCATTGGAAGGCGGACTCCCAACCACTGCGCCACCAGGGAAGCCCTGATTTAAAAAACAGTTATACAAAAAAAAAAAAAAAATATATATATATATATATATATATATGCATTGTTGAACCTATAATGTATAGAAATGTAATATATTTGCCAAAAAAACCCACTAAAGAGACAGGTGGGAGCAAATCTGCATTGGGCTAAGGAAATGACTCCAGATGGTACTCAAATACATAAGAACAGATGAAGAGAAACAGAAATGGTAAATCAGAAGGTTAATAAAACAAAAGCTGTAAATATTTACTTTCTCCTCGTAGCTTCTTTATAAGATATCAAATTATAGAATGTAGTAATTATAACAATGTATTGTTGGGTTTGTAATATTTATAGATGTTATATGTAGAACAAAAGTTCACAAAAAAGGAGGAAAGAGAATAGAGGAGTAACATTTCTATACCTAACTGGAATTAAGTTAGTATAAATCTAAAACTGATATTCATATGGTAAAGTGTATATGGAAAGCCCTAGAGGAACCACTAAAGAAATAACTGAAGGTATCTAGTGGAAAAATTATAAGAGAAATGTATATGATACATTAAAAAATATTCACTTATTCAGCTAATGCAATAGAAAATAGTAAAGAAGGAATAGAGGGGAAGAAGGCACAAGACATATAGAAAATAAACAGTAAAATGGCAGTCATATTGACTAAATCAATATCCAAAGTTAGACTGAATGAAAAAAAATGATCCAACTATTTGCTTTTTTATTGAAGATCTAATTGGCTTCCTTCAACAATTTATAAATCAGGCAGCACCCCATCTAGCAAGTAGAGAGGAGCTCCAAGGGGCTGTACAAAATGGAAGGCTTGTAAAGGCAGAGACTGGGGTGGGGCAAGGAAGTCCAACTATTTGCTCTTAAAAATAGTTTGGATTCAAAGACATAGATATACAGACAACAACTATAAGAAAGCTGGAGTGGCTATGATATTATAAGACAAATACATTTTAAAACAAAAAGTGTTGCTAATTATAAAGAGGACATTTTAGCATGATAATAGTTACAATCCTTTGGAAAGGTAGAACAGTTATAAACATATATGCCTAATAACAGAGCACCAAAATACATGAAAAAGAAACTGTCAGAAATGAAGTGAGACATACATAAATTCAAAAATAATACTTGGAAAATTCAATAATCTAATTTTCAGTAATAGATAGAATAAGGCAGGAAAACAACAAGGACATAGACTTGAACTACACTGTAAACCAACTAGACCTAGCAGATATCTATAAGGAGCACCCACTAAACAATAGCAAAATATATATTCTTCTCAAGAGCACACAGAACATTCTCCATGATAGACCATATACTAGATCATAAAAAAATCTTCAATAA